GCTTGGAGTAAGGGTAAAGTCAACACGCAGAGAGTTCGACCATCCAGACGCAGAAGAGCTTAAAGTAAAACATCTCAGTTTTGAAACTTTCGATTCAAAAGAATGACGATACTGTTGCAAAAAAAACGATGCAGTGTTGCGTATTCCGGTGGTGCTTCGCAGGTGGATGTTGTTGCTGTGGTTTTAGGTAATGACTCTAACGATGCCTCCTTACTCAGAGATCCTTCTTCGCATGTGCCTATACCCTCCGTTGTTTTCCTGCTCACAGTCATTCTACTTGAAAGTTGAAAGTTGAAACCACAATTCATTGAGAAGGAGGAGATTCCAGTTCCACCAACTTAACTGGATTTTGTAGTAATTGATGTACCGATCGAAACCAACAACCACAGCCCCAACCTGGAAGCAAGGAAACAAACAAACAAACAAACAAACAAAACAAACAAACAAAACAAACAAACAAAACAAACAAACAAAACAAACAAACAAAGAAGGTGTGAATTTTAACAAAGGAAAAAGTGAAAGAAAAAAAAAAAGCCTCAGGGCCTCAGGCATTACAGCCTGATTTACCGAATGTGCAATCAGACTCGCTTTCGTTCGCACTTTTCATGCATGTAAACAGTAGCGCAGCAAGCTGGCGACATGCGCCCACTCAAACTCTCAGAGATGTGGCAACCAGATACGAGTTCACTTTCAATTGGCTATGGCGACTCAGCGCCCAAACAACTCACTGTTCATATACAACGGATCACCCTGGATATCCCACACGCGACTCTCTGAACTCACACACACACACACACACACACACGCACTTGCTACACACTAACTCTAGCGATGGCGGCTGTGGCCGCGACTACCCTATCGCTATGCTACGCTCCTTCTCTCTCGCCCACTTCAGCTCCGGGCTCACTGCAGACCTCCTTGAACAAGTCGCTGTGGCAGCGCTTCCGCATGGCTCACGCAGGAATGAATGCATGGCTGGGCGCTGCCTCTTGATTTATACTTCTGAAACTCGTTGGTCTGCCCTTTGCCATCGGCCCATGGTGCTCACAGTCCCTTGTGGTACTTGCTGGACCGGACTGGGACTGACTGGACCTTACTGCTGACTGAATGGGGACTCACTGCTAACCTACCGAGGTCGTACTGCAATTGCACTGCAGTTAGTCCACCACTTGACTCACCACTTGCCCACTTGCTGACCTTCCAGAAGGACTACAGCTAAGACTTCCGGAACTCGCTAAGACTTCTATTCTACAGGTCTACAGATCGAACCCCTGCTACCTACGGACCTATGACAGCCTACCAACTGTTTACGAATACACAGGTCACCGGTTCAACTCTCGTGGTCTACACAAGTACTGTACATAGGTAGGGCAAGGTCTAGGGATCGAACCCTGGGATCTGCGTCTGCTACTGCAAAGAGGTGAAAGGCGTTTCAAATGGGCTGATCATCAATCAGAATAGTGAGTACGAAAAAATACCAGATGCTCAATGAGCCAATGGTCAATAGTAAATGGTTGTAAACCACCACCACCTTTCTCATATGTGGGGCCTGTCTCTTATACACATCTAGATGTGTATAAGAGACAGGGTCTAGGGATCGAACCCTGGGATCTGCGTCTGCTACTGCAAAGAGGTGAAAGGCGTTTCAAATGGGCTGATCATCAATCAGAATAGTGAGTACGAAAAAATACCAGATGCTCAATGAGCCAATGGTCAATAGTAAATGGTTGTAAACCACCACCACCTTTCTCATATGTGGGGCCTGTCTCTTATACACATCTAGATGTGTATAAGAGACAGGGTCTAGGGATCGAACCCTGGGATCTGCGTCTGCTACTGCAAAGAGGTGAAAGGCGTTTCAAATGGGCTGATCATCAATCAGAATAGTGAGTACGAAAAAATACCAGATGCTCAATGAGCCAATGGTCAATAGTAAATGGTTGTAAACCACCACCACCTTTCTCATATGTGGGGCCTGTCTCTTATACACATCTAGATGTGTATAAGAGACAGGGTCTAGGGATCGAACCCTGGGATCTGCGTCTGCTACTGCAAAGAGGTGAAAGGCGTTTCAAATGGGCTGATCATCAATCAGAATAGTGAGTACGAAAAAATACCAGATGCTCAATGAGCCAATGGTCAATAGTAAATGGTTGTAAACCACCACCACCTTTCTCATATGTGGGGCCTGTCTCTTATACACATCTAGATGTGTATAAGAGACAGGGTCTAGGGATCGAACCCTGGGATCTGCGTCTGCTACTGCAAAGAGGTGAAAGGCGTTTCAAATGGGCTGATCATCAATCAGAATAGTGAGTACGAAAAAATACCAGATGCTCAATGAGCCAATGGTCAATAGTAAATGGTTGTAAACCACCACCACCTTTCTCATATGTGGGGCCTGTCTCTTATACACATCTAGATGTGTATAAGAGACAGGGTCTAGGGATCGAACCCTGGGATCTGCGTCTGCTACTGCAAAGAGGTGAAAGGCGTTTCAAATGGGCTGATCATCAATCAGAATAGTGAGTACGAAAAAATACCAGATGCTCAATGAGCCAATGGTCAATAGTAAATGGTTGTAAACCACCACCACCTTTCTCATATGTGGGGCCTGTCTCTTATACACATCTAGATGTGTATAAGAGACAGGGTCTAGGGATCGAACCCTGGGATCTGCGTCTGCTACTGCAAAGAGGTGAAAGGCGTTTCAAATGGGCTGATCATCAATCAGAATAGTGAGTACGAAAAAATACCAGATGCTCAATGAGCCAATGGTCAATAGTAAATGGTTGTAAACCACCACCACCTTTCTCATATGTGGGGCCTGTCTCTTATACACATCTAGATGTGTATAAGAGACAGGGTCTAGGGATCGAACCCTGGGATCTGCGTCTGCTACTGCAAAGAGGTGAAAGGCGTTTCAAATGGGCTGATCATCAATCAGAATAGTGAGTACGAAAAAATACCAGATGCTCAATGAGCCAATGGTCAATAGTAAATGGTTGTAAACCACCACCACCTTTCTCATATGTGGGGCCTGTCTCTTATACACATCTAGATGTGTATAAGAGACAGGGTCTAGGGATCGAACCCTGGGATCTGCGTCTGCTACTGCAAAGAGGTGAAAGGCGTTTCAAATGGGCTGATCATCAATCAGAATAGTGAGTACGAAAAAATACCAGATGCTCAATGAGCCAATGGTCAATAGTAAATGGTTGTAAACCACCACCACCTTTCTCATATGTGGGGCCGTGCCTCAAATTCAAATCCGGCCACCACGCGCCTTCGATGAAAAATATCGACGGCAGCGTGGCGGCTATTTTTCAGGAGTAGGCTACTAGATGCCCGCGGCCGACATACGGGAAAGGTAGTGGTGGTTTAAAAAAAAAAAAAGAAAAAAAAAAGGTTGTACAGTGCACACTGAGTCTACAGGATCTGAGTACCAGATGGAACGATAGGCAGTACTCAGGAAAAGGAAAAAAGAAAAAGAAAAAAAAAAGAAAACGGCAAACACATGACAGAGCAGTAAACATCAGGAGGATTCCCAAGATCCCGTCTAGAACGTAAGAAGAGGAAGCAGTCGTCCTCGAGCTCCACTGTCTGATGTACCAAAGGCCTCGATGGATGCAACACTCAGAGCATACTCACACGAGTACTTTTTTTTTCTGAACGTATCGGGCTGCCATTACGACCGTACTGGATGTATTTGACGGCAATCACGTGCAGAAAATAGGTCCTAGGTCCCTAGTGTAAGTATGCCCTCGGAGGAAACCCACTACCTAGACCAAGGGCGGAAAACATGGAATGCAAGACCCAATTGTTACGCCCCGCCCTCTCTCTTTCCTTTTTCTTTCCTTTTTCTTTCCTTTTTCTTTTTTTTTTTCTGTTAAGCCCCGCCTTCCCATTCTTGGTCGCAAGCTAATCCAACAGACCCCTTTTCATACCCCTTTTCGTGGAAAAGGGGTCTGAGAGGAAGTAAAGAAGGCGTGGCAGGCTGACAGAGAAGCCTCCAATGATGAAGAGGTAATCGATGCTGATCAGGGGTCCTTCGGTGCTACATGCTGCGCCTGCACACGCAGGCCATTTTCCAGGCCCTGAGCCCTTCAGCCAAAAAGCCTAGAATTCAGCCTGAAAACAGGGGCCTACAGTCCCTGTGTCGTTTCAAACTAAAAATGGCAAGAGCCTTTTTAGCCTGAAACAAAGGGCTATTTTCGGTCGTTCACCAGAACGACCGGCCCTGAAACTCAGGCACCAAACCAGGGTTTCGGGAACAGGCTATTCTTAGCCTGYATCCACGCCAGCCTCAGCAGATGCTGCAGCGCCAGCCCCTGGCACACTTCGGCATTGGCAAGAGCAGCCTCTTCGGCCTGGCTGGCCCTTCAGGCAGTCAGGAGGCAGGCCGTGCATTGGCAAGAGCAGCCTCCTCGGCCTGGCTGGCCCTTCAGGCAGTCAGGAGG